GACAGAATTTTCATTTATTTTTGTTGTTTTCAAGATGATGGTGAATGAAAAATATATAGATACCCGCACACTTGGGGCAATCAGTAACCTTATTGCTGTATACACTTTCCACTAATAATTATGCTTTTTTTTATGACGCCGTGTTTTCTAAAATTGTGTTCTACAATTTTTAAGAAAATTTGATCAGAAAACCACACGGATACCAATTTGAATCTTAAAAAAAAATTTAAAGGCTATTTTATTCGCTTGCATTTTAACAGAGTTTAACTGATAATTTATTTTGTCATTTGATGCTGCATATAACTACCGAAAAAAGTACAAAAAGAGTTCTAAGGGAAAGTGAGTGAAAGGCAGATTAACTGTCTGAGGAAAAAATTAACTAAATGAACTCCTTCAGTACGTATCAATTAATCTCACAGCGTCTCTGTGACGTGCGGGAAAACATCTTTCATATATCCAAATTTGATTGGCTGACACGTTTCTTGGAAGTGTAGTCTTAAATTGGTGGCATATAGTCAGCAAACTGTTGTTAAGCTCCTCAGTTTGCTTGACAGTTCCAAAACATCGAAAGAATTCCTTTTCAGCTAGCTTTGTGCGGACATGCGAGTTTTTCTCCACTTGTACCTTATCTCTGTGGTTCTTCCCCTCGGACAATTTCAGTACTGCCTAGATGGTATGTTTTAAAGCTTGCATTTGTTAAAAAGAAACCTTTATTTTTCTGCTCTTAATTTCTCAGCCAAGCAACATGTCAAAAACAAAAGGAAACGCGCCTTTTCCAGGACTGAAATTCTCGTATATAGAGGCCTAACTAACGAAATGGCTACTGAAACTCATCGTCCACTTTTTTAAAATGCGCTGTTATCTTTTGTTCGTTCAAAGTTATTCTAGATATTACATTTTACAATATGCGAACGTGTGTTTGCAAAGTTTTTAGCTATGACCGAACAAAATCCGCAGTTACTTAATTGGTTATCTTTTTTAAAGCTTATAGCCTCGAATTCTTTTGAGAAACTAATATAAAGATCCACTGGTTTTATGAAGGTCAACCATAACAGAGTAAATAGAGGCTATTAACTCTGACCAAAATTAATGAGCATATTTTCGCAAACTCCGTATACGTGTCTAGTGCTTGCACGAACTCAAGGAACAGCCTCTGGTAAGCCTCACGCTCAGGGAAATAAAAGTTGATTAATTAGGTGAAAAGTTAGGGAACTGTTTGAATTCGAAAAATTGCCCCCCATCTTCTTACATTCTCCTGTGGAATAAGAACCTCTTATTGGGTAAATAATTATTCACTGGTTTCATATCTAGTTGACAATTTTTTTTAACTGAAGAAAACTTGCGTAGTAAAAACGCTTGTCTTGTAATTTTTAAAACTCTGCATTTGAGGCATACTGCTTTCGTCATAACACCCTTCCTTTCTTATGAATTACCCAATTTTTGGAAGCCTAATGAGTAAGTTTTTTCAAAGCTAATAAAATCATAGAGAAAATTGTTGAAAAGCAGGAAGAGCAATTATCTTTCCTATAATGCAAAAGGAATACTGGCTGCGAATGAGCGGCAACATCCAAACTTCTCACTTGACAGGTGGCTAAGAGATAGACGACATGGATGTCTAACCATAAACATATTAAAGTTGATTATTTTTAACAACTCTTTATTGGTGCATTTTCATAATTTAGTCGAAATCGATGAAGCGTCGGAAAGAAACCTCAGAAGCGGTTTCCAAGGTTTTTTTCATTTTATTCAACATGTACAGGTTTCATTATAAACAAATTAAGTCACCAGCCACTATAAGTGCACAGACATCAGCTAACGGAAACATGTTAAAATGAATACAATCCGGTAAAATATTTGCAGCCCTTTTTATTCGTTGGATGTCGGCTAAGTACAAGAGTACCTACATCTGCTGACGGACACTTATGGAAAGGAATATAGTCCGGTAAAATATTTACAACTCTTTTTCATTCGTTGGATGCTGAGTAAGTACAAACTCTACTATATCTGCTGGTTATGTTTCAGAAATATTAAGCGGAAAGTTTATGTTGGATTCTGGACATAAAACAGGAATATGCTTGTATTTTTGTCAAACTCAAATCTCTTCCGAGAGGCGAACAATCTTAAGCTTAAGAATAAATTTACTCATTCATATTTAGAATTCTAAATGATAACAAATGTTGGAGTTGTTCTCAATGCATTGGTGGTCATTAAAATTTAAAGAAATTGGAGAAAAATGGGGCTGAGATGCATTAATATTCGCATCGCTCCAAGCATGGATCATGGAGCCTAGATTTACACTTTTAAGTTTGATTTCAGAAAAAGCATATTTCTTTGGCATATAATGTAAGAACCCAAAATATATCACCAGAATGTCAGATGTCATTTCAAGGTACATGTAGGGATGCAATGCAGAGAGCTTTTAAATTATTTAACAGTGTATATAGCTGTAGACATTATTTTTAGCTGTACATAGTTGGTGCAAAGTATTTACATGTCAAACTTGCCCGCAACTGAATTATTTACTTTTCGCGAGAATTGAATACGCTTTTTTAATTTGATTTCATAAGACTCCCGGTTAATTTCTAGGAGCTGATTATATATTTAGAGATTTAGCTTGAGCCCACTACTTTTTTTCGATACTGCTACAAATAGGATGGAAACAGAAGGTCGGTAATTCATACCTGACGCAAATTGAGCATAATTTGAGTTTTTAGCGACAATATTTTCGTTTCAATATCGTATTTTCAGTACAATCCTTTTTTTCAAGGTCAGTAAAAATAAGTTATTGGTATCTCTGAAAGTTCTTGGTGCGACTAGACGATAGCCTTTAATTGATTGTTCTGTCACGCTAACTCGTTGCGTTACACGTCTTCACGTATTGTTTCATTATGCATTGTGGTATAGCACTGGGCATGCTGTCAATTAAATTATAATTTTGTAGGTGCTCCCGGTGAAGATGCTTTCTCGTTTCACCTTAAACGTTTATTCTCAATAAACCCGGTTACGCTGCCGAAGAAGAGTTCTGACCTCGTTTATTTTTTGGGTAATGGATCAGAGCTTGACAAATCGGAACATCGATTTTTTCCCATTTTCTCAGCAACGAAATTAGTTTACCTCGCCTGTATCTACACAGCGGAACATTAAAAACCAATCACGCGAGATTCTTTTGCAGATTATGTAAACATCCTTGAGATCGAAAGTAATCATCTGTTGAAAAGCTATTTGAATATCGTCAAAGAGGAGGAAGAATAGCAGACTTAGTCACAATTAGAAAGCACAGACATCTGAAGTAATTCAAGTTTAGTTGAAAGGCGCTTATCGCAAATTTCTAGATGCGTGTTAACTGGTAAAAAGATCTCAGCTCAAGTTAGACCGCTGGATTATGGATTAGGGCTCTAATATTCAAGAGAGAAAGGTAAAAAGCCATTTGATAACTTGTAATTGTCGAAGTATTATAACATGTTTGTGCATGGAGCCAACAACCCTACTGCAAAACAATTTCATAGATACAAGTAGTGTTTTCACTTCAATTGTAATGCAATGGCATTCGAATTAATTAACGTATTATGAGAAAAATATTGAATTCGGACAAACAAGTACATTGTGGGAAAATGCAGAAGCATATTTGTTGTTTTGCATAATGAAGGCATCTAAAAATCTGAGAACGATGTCCCAGTTAGACTGAGAAGGATTCAGAAAACAGCGAAGTTGCGCGGTTCTCGGGTTGTTTCCAAGAGGCATATATACTTTTAAGTATATAGGCTTAAAAGGCTTTAAAAAGCTTAAAAGGCTTAAAAGCCTTCGCATGAAAGTTTATTCCAAACGCTAAAAGTAATTTCGTTTTTCCAAAGAAAAATTGCGATATGTAGAAATAATTCAGCGTGGATCAGGTCCGTCGGCACGGTTCTATAAGTCCTTGTTTGAAGAGCCTTTAGAATGCTTCCGCTATGTTCTGGAAAGTTCAGAAATATTCGGTTTCCCTCGGGCAAAGGTTTTATGGATGAGTGGCGGTCAGTTATGATACCAACACCACAATTTACTGAGAATTTCTTCAATGTTCTTATTAATAAATCCTCTCATAGCAAAAACTTCTAATCAATAATCGCTTGAGTTATCAAAACGACTGTAGCTGCGGTATTTTGCAATGTTAATAATCGACGATCATCGCAAAACTTGCAAGTTATCGTCGACATTTCCTCATTATCTCCATTGGGAAAATATATCACGGCACCTCAGCGATATTTTTATCTTAGTTACGCAATATTTCACTGCAGACTAGCGATGGATAATTTTTCGGCAAATGGTGGATATTAAATTGACCAATTAGAGCACGCGCTTTACTTTGCTTATGTTATAAATACTTGTCTAGCCCCTTACAATCCCTGTAACTGATTTTCTTAACCATTGCAGTATTACTAAATTCAAGGCAGATGTTCCCAGCACTGTATTTCTTTTACTTTAAATCCTTGATCCCTCTGGTCATGGCTACTGGCCCCCTGTGTAACCTGGCCGAGCAATCAGTGAGTGGAAAAGCTCTTAAGGGTCACACCTATAAATCAAAAAGGGTGCAAAATCCTTACGAATGTTGGGTATTTTGCGACAGTGAAGTCACATGCCAGAGCTACAATTACGTCAAGACTGGTAAAATATGTGAACTGAATTACATAACCGAGGAAGAGAAACCGGAGGATTTTGTCCAAGATGAAACCAGATTTTACATGAGAAAGTGGAAAAACAGAGGTAGGTACATACTGTGTCAGTACTTAAACTAAGTAATGAAAAAAATTAAAATCACCTGACTAAGGTATTTGACACCCTCAGGAGACAGCTATGGCGAGTCTCGACTCAACCCAATGGTTAGGGTTGGAGTTGCAGAAATCTATTGACCTTTTTCCAGTATTTTGATGTTAGGGTTACAGTTTAGGGTTAGGGTTACAGTTGGGTTAGGGTTTGAGCAACCATAAGTCAAGTGACAAGCATTCTCGTTGCCTTCCAGCATCCTGGGGCAAGTAGCCAGATGGCACTGGTCCTGCTGAGCCCAAAACATTTTGCACTAACCTGATAATTTAAAAACTGTTACTTGCACCTTGAGTACTAATCTCAAATTGAGCCCTGCAAGCCTTTTGACAACTACCGTCCCCTTCTAAATCCCTATTCTTTACTAAGATTTACACAAAACTTTCTAGTTTTACTAATATTATAACTAGTTAACAGCTTGCATAGTTAGAGACATGAAAATAGCAATATAGTGACAAAAGGAAGAATTTATTAATTAATTCCTAAACCAATTCACTTTACGTTAGAAGGTACCATAACGTCACGCAAAGGGCCATGTAATTGATTTTGAGTGTTATGCAGTATGTTTAAGGTGATACGTCACGGAATAGCTGTAGGTCCTAAGCGTTGAGGGGGATCGATGTGTAAGAGTATGGATCCTAAATACCTACGAGTTGGGTCGCACAATGGCTGTAAGTCTTAATTGCAGAAAGGGATACGTCACACAGTAGCAGTAGATCTATAAAGCTGAAAGCGGTTTGTCACGAAAGAGCTATCAATTTCTCTTTTTAAATATGTTGTTGGTGATTGTTACTCAGCAGTCTTGTCTCATCGAAAATTTGAAGTTATATTCCGTAATTGACATCATTTTCTATCTTCTTGTGGCCGTAACTTGACAATTTGCTGGTATTTTGAGGATAAATCCATCTGTTATGACTTCTGGGAGAGAAAGTCGTAAGCTTTTACAGCCCAGACTTATAGGCCCTAATTACGTTTCTATCTGAAATTTTGATGCGTCAGTACTTCGTGTTTTTATTATCATTTAGCTGTTTGTACCGCTGTAGGAGTAGAAGATCTTCACATAGTACCTGACGCCCAAATCACAGGAAGTTCCTATTTTTTAAGTTATTATCCGCACATGGGACGGCTAAATGGAGTGAAAGGTTGGTGTCAGAAAACTAAAACAATCACCGATGACTACTTACAAGTTGATATGGGAGCACTGCGCATTGTCTGCGCAGTCGCAACACAAGGGAAGAAAAATGGGTCATTCGTCAAAAGCTACAGGCTTTCCTTCTCTACTAATGGGAGCCGTTGGAGTGCATTTCAGGAAAAAAACATCGACAAGGTTTGAAATAATTCTAACATAATGTCCTCTTGCTTTTTTATGTTCTTGAATAGGTGTGCTGATCATCCTTAAAATATTAATTTGTGAGAGTCACTTGACGGTTTTTGGCTTAAAAATTACGCGAAAAAATCTCGTTGATATTATTTAAGATTATTAAGAAATACTTGATAATTCTATCTTAATTTCGGACGAAAATGTACCAGTCAATTCATGCTAATGATACTCAATGCCATATATCTTAGTTATTAGGTGCACCATGATTAGTAAGTTTAGTGGGTCGTATTTCATTGTACCACCCGCTTCATTTAAAAGTTTGTTTCAATTTAAATCTTACCCCTTAATTCGAACCCAGAGATGTCAAAAATATCGCAACAATCCTTCACGCTTGGGCCATAAATCCGTCTGGAAAATACGAGGTTTCGTAATTTACAAAACAGACCGATAAAACGAGGTTAGTAAGATGGTTATTTCATGCATGGGTTCAGATAGAGCAGGACTATGAGGATATCAATTCAAATAAACTATTTAATTTAGCGGGTCATACAGTGAAATCCAGGCTCTGTTTCTCGAAAGTCCCGGTAACTAAACGAGCCCGAAGCCATGTTTTAAAATCAAAATATAATGAATATAAAAGCACGTTCTGGCATCCAAATCAATCCCTTTTGTTTCTTTAGCTGATAATTTTATTGCATTATTTTCAAAACTTTTGAAATCCCCATCTTAAATTAAAACAGAACAGCTTTATGGGCTCGTTAAGTTACCGTAACTTTCGAGAAACGGATCCTAGGTCCGCTAAATTGACAAGTCATGGCGCAAGTACCAACTGACTGATATGATAATAGGTTTTACATTTACATACAGTCTGAAAGAATGTGAGGTTAGATTTATGAAAAGTGATAATCCTTTTTACCAAAGAGACGCCATTTTTTTTAATATCTCAAATTGTAAACAATACTTTTAAGTATTGTTTCAAGTATTATTGTTTTAAGTATTGTTTTAAGTATTGTTAAAAAAACTCAATATATCAAAATGTTCTTACCGAAGACAGACTGACTCCGCAATTACCTATCTACAATCAAATCTCCGTAATCATCTACCGAGAATCGAATGTACCCATTATAAATCCATAAGGACGTCATCTGTAACTGCGTAAGAACAATACTGCCGCTCTATAAGTACTTATGTAAATAGTCTTTAATTATAATTTAGCATTAGAATGGAGGGGGTGGGGTTTCTGGATCTTTTATACTTTGTACGCTATAGATTTTAACTTGTAACGTAGGAAATGTATTTTTATCCTATGAACGAATAAAGAAATAACATTATTGATATAACTCTGTTCTCTGTTCACGAACTCTGTTCGTGGCACCATTAGGCACAGTTTAAGAGATTCGCTGTAGAGAGGGAGGGGAGGGTGATTCGGGCGGTGTATGACTCACTCTCTTCAAGATAAGAAATGATACACAGTCAGGATGATACAAAAAATCTACCAAGCCCAAAAATGCTAGGAAGAAAACTCCTGGAAAATTTTGTGTAAACTATTATAATGTGACATATAATGTCTGGATTTTATTTTGTATTTGCAGATCTTCCAAGGGAACTCAGACTTGAATAGCATTGTACAGCACACTCTGAATAACCCAGTCCAAGCAAGATACATTCGATTTTATCCTGTCACCTTTTCGACATTCCCTTGTATGAGGGTTGAAGTGTTTGCGCAGTGAATGTGGAATCATCAAGAGTGACTTTTACTGCATAAAATGATTGTGTCCGTGAGCTATAGAATACATGTGTTCCATTTTGCGCATTTCATCAGTGAGTTGTTAAAACTTGGGTGTTTTTATAGGTGTAAGTCTGGTATTTTGAGCACTTACTGTTTTGACGAGCCCGCAAGGCGAGTTGGCTGGCTTTATTTATAGAGGGTAGCACTTAAGGTGGCTCGTACCGGTTTTCGTTTTTTTGATGGTTTGTAACTTTGAAAGAATACAACAGAAAGACTGACCAAGGCCAGTTGAACACTTTTACGGGGTTGAATTATATAATCATTGGTTATCCAAAAATAGCTGTCATTTCGTCACTAGCAGTTTCCATGGCAACGCTTTCATAGGCTTATTCAGACGCATTTTTTAGCTTGTGGCTTAAATAATTCGAAAACTAACCCGGTGACCCCATGATTTTTTTCAGTGATTGCTTTTGGCACTTGAAAAGGAAAATGCACAAAGATTTTTAAAAAATTCTACGGAGCGGAATTTCAGAAAATCTAGAAAAAAGGCAATTTTCAGACATCGCAAATTTCCTTCCGTAGAATTTTCTAGTTTTTTTTCTGATGATTCCTTTCGACGTTATTATCATATTGGAACAATAAAAAGAAGGGGTCACCGGACTTGTTTTCATGCAATAGCTTTCGTGAGTTTAGCAATTTCCACGCGCGTTCTCGCGCATTTAAAAATCTGGATTCTATAAGATCGACATTTGCTCATGATCTGTT